TTCTCTAAAAGCATTTTACCAAATTGTGTCATTTTTTGAAATTATTATATTATATGAACAGTAAAAATCTTGATAAATTTATATTGTTCTATTAGCATTGTTTAATTTTACAATTGCATTATTGAAAAGAATTGGTTTTTATTTTAATTCAAGTATATGTTTTAGACTAAATTTATTAGTTTTTTAAATTAGTTTAATTATAATTCTGATTAGAATGCTACTTACTAAAAATTTCTTTGGTATCAGATATTATAGTTGACCTTGCACCTTCTACCAATCATTAAGGGGCCCCATAGCTTTTTGGACAGTGGAAGCACTTTTTGATAATCTCATGGGTAAAAATTATATTATATTATTAGGTTGTAATTTAGTGATCCACGTATATCATAGTTAAATCTTAGTTTTATTTTACTGATATATAATATACTAGTGTGGAGCCAAGCTCCTTTGCTGAATTGGTTGACAGGTTTTGTTATTGTAAAAATGTTGGGAGGTCCGAATTATAGGGAGAGTCTATCAAAAATTTTTACAAAATATTTAAAATTTTGTTTACCTTATAATTATATATATATATATATATAAATTAGTTATCGATATTTTAGCTTACTCTTAAATAAGGCTTATAAAATATGAGTTTGTCTCATATTCCGTATTAATCATACCTTTAGTTCCGGGGTGTGATGTAAACCACTTAGAAAATTAAGAAAATATATTTAGGATTACTGGTAATGTTAGTTGAAAATCTATGATATTAGTTGTGAATTACAAGCTAATCATTTGTGATTTTTTTTCTACCTATAAAATACATTTAGAATTATATGTAACATCAATTGAGATTTTATGAAAATGAGTTGTGAATTGTAAGTCAATTAATTTGTGAGTTTGTGACTTTTTGTTATTGCTTGAAAAATCAACAAAAAAAGTATGCAATGGGAAAGAGCACAGAAAATAAGATATTAGAAGATGATTATTGTGATTAAATAGTTTATGCTTGTCGTTAGACTTGAAATTAATTTGTTGATTATTGTTATAAAGAGTGAATCCAACTGTTATATGTTTTGATCAATATATTAAAACTTAATTCCTTGTACCGAGGGAGAGGAAGGGGCAGAGGAGGGAGGACAAGCAAAAGTGAAAATGGATTTTGGGTTATGGAGGGAGGACAACAAGAAGGAAGAGGAGGAGGAAGGAGGAAGAAGACAAGCGACGCTGATGAAGGAAGAGGGAAGAGGAAGATGAGCAGCACTCATAACGGAGGAGGTGTGATGAAAAGAAAACAAAAGACGTGATTAATTTTTTTAAATCACTTTTTATATCAGGTCATTTTGTCACTTGACGTAGAAAGTAAATATTTTTTTTAATAAAATATCTTTCTTCACACTCAATGTAGTAAGTAGTTGTTTTTTTATTTTTTAAAAATTCAAAGCACTTTATAGAGTAACTATTTTTTTATTTTTTTTTAAATTCAAAGCATTTACTACATTGGGTGTGAAGCACCCAATGTAAAAATTATACTTTTTACATTGGGTGCAAAGACACCTGATGTAAAAAGTAATTAATTTTTTATTTTTTAAAAATTCAATGCACTTTCTACATTAGATGTGAAGCTTGGCAACTGATGTAGAAAATCCAACCGTCAAGTACAAATATTATAAAAATCTCACTGCCTGGAGTTTTTACATCATTTGCTTTTCAAGACCCAAAGCTATAGAACTTGGGTGTGGGTATTTTGTCGAAATGGAATGGCTTTACTTTACTATTTTCTTTTTATTAAAAAAACAAAAAAGATATGCTTGGGCATACGATAAAACAAATCCCTCATAAAATTCATAATTTGTACTAGTATTAAGTGCATATTACGTGCCAATCACTTTCATATTTTGAGAGTGTGACATCAATTTTATTTAATAACTGACGTGAAAAGTAGTTTTCATATTGGTTAAATAACCAACATGAAAAATCAACTTACTACTACACTTATTTCTACATTTCTCACTTTTCTAACTTAAAAAGTCTAGAATAATTAATGTAAAAAGTCATTTCTACTGTAGTAGAAGTTCACCTCGAGTGCTATTATGAAATTTCACACAATGCGCTATGGTGCATGATACTATTAGCCATGACACATGATATAGAGTGTATTTATCACGGTACACCTGTCCCTTAGTTACACCATTACCTCTCTATGTAATCTGTCACACTGGATGTTTGCTTGGCCGCTTCTTAATTCATTTGAAATCCAACCCTCCATGCTTCCTACGTCTTAAATACTTTGATTTGAAAGGTTACTTGCCTCCCTTGTCAATTTTAAAATGAATTTACATGGTTTTGGGATGCCAATTTTTTAAAGATTCCATACTTACTAAACCCGCCTTCAAAATTTTTTACCACATAGTAGTTTCTCATTGTATTAGTTTAATCTGTTTGTTTTTTTTTACTATAGTTGAGCTTCTTAAACTTTGTTTAATTTTATTTTACCATGGTAGGGGTTATTTGATTGATTTTAATTATATAAATTAAATTTTATTAACTATAATAGACTTTCAAATTAAGTATTTTCCTTTTCTAATATGGTTAAACTTTTTTAACTATGATAAAGGCTTTCTACCATGGTAATGGTTGGTGGAGGACATTAATCTTAATTTCCATAGTAGGGTGGGTGTAAAGTGGTTAATTTTGGAAATATTACAAAGCCAACTTAATTGGTTGTATATGGGTAGGAAATCAAAATAGTTCTTATTTTAAACAGGTTTTATTTAGTTGTTTTGGTTCAATTGGATTGGATTAAACCTAGTTTATTTTTGAAGACATGCATGAACATCTCTCCAGCCATGACAGTTTGTGATGATTTGTGCTCCAGGGAAACAAAATATGCATTTATGATTTGGCAAGTTTTAAGGGAATTGATTTCAATGTACCACAATATGAATCATCCAGATTAAAACTTGATCATCATTTAGATGTAGTGTTATTTTATTTTTCTATTTTTAATAAATTTCCAACTTAATAGTTGCAAAATCTGAAATAGAGATAATTTCAACTTTTATTTTACAAATGAATTTATCATTTAAAAGTTCAAATTTTAAAACTTTAAGTATGAGCAAGACTACTAAAATTGAAGGATGTGACTAGATTTATTCATTGGGGGCGCTTGGATCATTCTTTTAGGTAAGTTATATTTTTGGAACTCATTAAGTTTAGTTAAGGTAGAATCTAATTTTAAAAACAAACATTTATGAAAATATTAGCAGATTTTCCACCAACAATGAAGTGTGTGTTTGGATAAGGAAATAATTGATTTTTGGCCCAAAAAATTGATTCTCCAGAAAATTATCCAAACATTTTGGGTAATCAATTTCTGGGCAAAAAATCAATTTTTCATGGAAGTTGAGAACCCAAGCATCGGTGGAAAAGCTTGAGAAAAATTGCAAAGAAAGGTCCACAAAAAAATTACAAATAAAGCACATAATTTAATAAAAATAAAACCAAACTCTCTTCCCTTCTCTTTCTTTTCTTAATAAAATTCAAACCTTATATTCTTAAAAAATTGATGTTTGATATTTAAAAATTAAATTATATAGTAATTTATATAGTTAAAATTGATTCTGATTAAATTATTTAAATATTTTTAATTTTGTTAAAATCAACTTAAAAAAAATAGTATCCAAACAGATTGTGTTATAATATAATTAATTACGATTAAAATATACTACTTAATTAATTATTTTCATAATTTATTATATCTGATTGAAATTCAAATGGGCACGAAGTTTTTATATTGATAATAAGAGTCAAATTCGCGCCTATATGACCAACTAGACCAAGATATTGATAATGATAATGATAATGAAGCCATTGGTCAGTCAGCTCGTGGCTTCAGTTTACAAGCATTGGACGACCTCCCATTAAAAAGGAAAAAAAAAGAAAGTAACTTACACAGATCTTCTTCTATTGTCAAGAGTCAACTTAAGATTTGTTTAATTTCAGCGAAAAATTAAAAACTTCTGGTTGATAGAGAGTGTTTGTATAATATATCATCTATTACAGGAAAGTTTTTGCCAATGTTTGTTTAAAAACAAAAAAGGGATAGTTCCAGTCATAGAATCATAGTTAAGAAATGGAACAAGGCATGGATATCATCGAAATCCCCTCACATATTTTCTCCACAATTGCATCAGTCAATGCAGAGGAAATATTTTTTTTTTTCATTACAATATCTCAATTGCATCTAGCTTCATACTTTATCTACCTCTATTTTGGGTCCTAAAAACAAAGCACCACTTTATTCAAATTTATTTTTCTTATGATGATAGCTTAATGTTTTGGAAGGAGAAGGACCAATACATCTAACGTAGATAACCTCAAGGATTCAATCCAAACAACAACAACAACAACAACAAGAAGCCTTTATTCCACTAGGTGGGGTCGGCTACATGAATTACAAGACGCCATTATGCTCTATCATTTATCAAGCTTTTAGGAATATTATTAATTAAAAGATCGCGTTCAACAATTTTCAAGAGTGTTCTCTTAGGCCTTCCTCTACCCTGCTTAATTGGACTCAAAGTTATATGTTCCACTCTTCTCACTGGTGCCTCTCGTGATTTTTTTGTACATGCCCAAACTATCTCAACCAATTTTCTACCATTTTTTTCATAATAGGTGTTACCTTCACTTTTTCGTGTGCATGTTTATTTTAAATTTTATCTTTACATGCATGTCCGCACATCTATCATAATATTCTCATATCTGTTACTCCAACATTATGCTTTTGTTGTCCCGTTTGAGCCCAGCATTCACTTACAAGAACATCAAAATACACATAATTAAAAACTTAATAGTAGTTCATTAATATCATATATCTGCTGATTGAATCACTATCATTGAGTCCTCCGCTTCAAGAATTCAACACTTGAGAAGGTGTTTTCTCACACCTGGGATGTGAATGTTGGATATGTATTGCTCCCAATTTATGCTTTCCACATCAAATCCAAAGTTCTTCATCTCTTCACCAGACATTTCTCCATATAACCTCTATGTATTGCCATTGTCAAACCTAGCCAAAAATCCAAACACCACACTCCATGCTCAATGCCACAAGTTACATATCTACAAAAGTATATATAGTACCCTACATACTGAATACGTATTCCTTTGTAAATTGAGAATCAAAAATGTTTATGAACATATGGGGAAAATAATCAATCAAAAAAGTAATTCAAAGAAATGCTTATGCAGATCAAATCTAATTATATTAGAAAGAAACTGGTAAGCAAGTCAAACATTTTTTTTTCCTTTTCAGATGAGGTTGCATCTAAAATGTGTGTGCTAGTTTGGAGTTGAGTCAGAAATTATTTCAAAAAGAGATTTATCTTTGAAAAATCAATCACTAATACAACAAAAATGACATCAAGTGGTATCTCATTAAGTGGAGTTAGCTATATATGTACTATCACAAAACACCATCATGCATGGTTACTTAGTTATGAGAATATACTTACCTTGCTTTATAAAATGTATATGGCCGATAGAGATTAGCCATGTGAATAAAAATCTCTGCTTTCTTTATGGACTTGTTTTGAAGGATTCTACGGAGGTTAGATTCAAGGTTTGTAGAATCCAACAATAATCCACTTTGCCTTGCCATTTCCATTGAAATGTAAGAAGAGAAGTCATCCAAGGAGCTGAAGAAGTTCATGCTCTTAATGCAAGTTGGATTATTTCCATTATTTGAGTTTGGCAACGGAAATGAGTTAAAATGGCCACAAGCATAGTAAAAAATGTCTCCTAATAAAATAGGGTTTTCAGAAGAAGATCCAATATGGTACACGTTTAATTCTGGTGTTGCAGCAGCTCCATGTCTTGCAATTGCAGCCATTGTGGCATTGGCAACCATATCCACTGGAATCTGCGACACATGCCATAGACAATTAATACCTAACATAAAAAAAGTATAAAATTCAAGCTTAGTCTTTCTTTGTTTTTTTTTTTTTTGGGTTTCCTATGGTTATCTCTCCATTAAAGCCAATCCTATTTGAATTACTGTCGAGTACTAAATGTGAGTATCTCTATCAGCAAAGATTTTAACATTGGTTCATCACGTTGTAAAGGACTAGTCTCTTCTACTAAACTCAAGCCCCGTTGGTAATTCAAAGCTTGGTTTTTAAATAGTATATAAATGCTTCAACAATCAACAGCCAAAGAATTTAGGAGAACTTACCAAATCTACAACAGCTTGGGGATCTCCAAGTAATCCTGGGAGATTACCCTTCCCATAATTAAATATCAATGGCTCAAGAACTCTGCTTCATGATGAAAAAGTGGACATGTGATGGAATGGATCACAGAAAGAAGAAGAAAATATTAGAAGATGATTATTGTGATTAATCAGTTTATGCTTGTAGTTGGGCTTGAAATTAATTTGTTGATTATTGTTATAAAGAGTGTGAATTCATCTGTCATCTGTATGTTTTGATCAATATATGACAACTTAATTCCTTGTATTTTTGTTCCAAACTTTATTAAAAATTTAAAAAGTAATATACGTAAATTTTGGCAGGAAAAGTCTTCTGCTGAAATCATACCAGGTTCTCTTATACATTAGACAACTTCAAATTTTACTAAGACGAAATTTGATTATTGTATTTAATAAATAATAAATGGTGAAACCCTGATATGAGAAAATGGCAAGGCATATATGATAGACTAGCACCTGTATCCTTGAATCCAACCAGGAAATGGCTCTCTGTAAGAGCTTTCAACCACAGAAGGACGAAGTTTGATCACCGGTACGCCATCTCTGAAGTTGTTTATTAACATCTCTCCCATTGCCTTTGTGAATGAGTACGTGTTTGGCCATCCATACATCTTTGCCCTGTTCATGCATGCATTACGTACACTTCTAAAAGCAATAAAACTTAATTGAAAATCTTATTCATAGTTAGATCTATTAATTTCAAAGAGACTTATCCTCCAACGCATGTACCTCTCAATTCCCAGCTCTTTCATCTTCTGAGTGGCTTGATTCTGTTTGACTGAATTCACCATTTCAGATGCCAAGTTTAGTTCAAAATCTATATCATGTTCTGTGATTGCCCTAGCTCTTCCTTGTCCGATGTAAAGTGGCTTCTCCATTATTATCCCGTGTCTTTCTCCATCACCAACATAAGCTGAATATCGCATTATATATATATATAGTCTTTAAGTAAATTTCTCTACGATTATAAAATGAAACAGATGTTATATTGTGTTCTAGTAATATATATATATATATATACAGGCCTGTTGATATGTGAAGGAAAAGACGAAGATTCTTGCATTTCTTTGCAAAGTTTAGAAGATGAGAAGGTCCTTTGGTATTTGTGTTCAAAGCCACGTCGTACCTGAAAGTGAATGTGAAAGCAGAAAGTTTATTACAAACACACACATACGCTAGAAGAGTTGAAGCGATGAATTGATCTTAGTCTTCTCATGAAAAAATGGTTAAGTGTTAAATTTTTTTTTTCTCGAACTCGTCACTCAGGGTTAAGTATCCTGAACTCAATTTTTTATTTTTTCTATTTTTAAAAAATATTTTTTATATTATAATATTACATATTCTTTTTCTAAAAATAAATTATAATGTTCAAAAATTAAAAATAAGTAATATAAATTCAAATTTTAAAGTATAAATATATTTTAAATTCTAAATTTAATTTAAAAATTAAAATATTTTATTTTTTAAGAATAAAACAAAAAACAAGCCTAAACAAGCAGCATGAGCCACAGACTGCTTTTACAAGACTTAAACATGCCAGACTTAGAAGGCCAATTATCCCAAAAATACCTACTTTTTAGAGGCCAACCTCTTATAAAATCTAGACTTAAACAGGTAGCCCATTTTTGGAAAATTTAGGCTGCTAAGCTGGGACTTTATAAGGGTTTAGGTTTAAAAAATTAGGCATTTTTTGGGATAATCAGGATTCTATAAGCCTAGCATGTATTCCCAACTTGTTGAGCCACCTATTGAAGCCTTGATTTTATAAACGTTTGTGTTTGAAAAATTAAATTAAGAATTTTTGGAATAATCAAGCCCACTTAAACTTTGAAATATAAATTTGAACTTTAAAATATACGTTTGTACTTTAAAATTTGAATTTATATTACTTATTTTAAATTTCTGAACAATATAATTTGTTTTTAGAAAAAATATGTAATATTATAATAAAAAAAATTATTTTTAAAAAATTTAAAAATAAAAAATTGAGTTCAAGACAAAAGTGACCCTAGGTGACTAGCTATTTCAATGGCAAAAGTGACCCTATTAAATGCTGATTGGACATCACATGTGGCAAAAAAGTCAACAAAATAGTTGACTAACAAAGCATGGCCGTCAATGATAGGGGAGCTTAAGTTTCAAACTTTTAGGATAAAAATGATCCAACTTAAAGTTCAGGGTAACAATACAGTAGACTATGATAAGTTTGAGAGCAAAAATGACCTTTTAACTTATTAAAAAAAATGACTACATGGTTATACCAAAAAAAAAAAAAAGTGGCTACATGGTTGAGTAACAGATTGGTTGTGCAGATCATATTTAATGCACAATGTCATCTTCAGATTCTGTCCTATTAATAAACTCTTTTTTTAATATTCACCTGACATGATAGATGAGATGTAGATTAAAAAAAAAATTCTGAAATGAATCATACATATTATAATATAAAGATATAAAGAATTATATTGAGTATAGCCAAAGATATATATACGACCGTCAGTTCAGTGTATCCATTCAAAGGAAAAAAATAAATAAATAAAGAAAGAAAAAAATTATATGAAGAGAGAAGTTTTAATTATATGTACTTTATCGTATCAGCATCTTGTGATGTTCATTTGTATATCTAAGCTATTATGAGTAGTAATTAACCTCTCATCGAAGGAGGTAGCGGCTGCAGAGTTGACAACGACGTGAACTTGCTTTGCGATATCAGTTGCAGTGTGAGGATCCATCCCCAGATCAGGTTAACACACTGTTCCAACTACTGGGATCAGCTTACTCATCATGAACTCCACGTACCTTTCTCCATGAACTTGTTTGATAATCTTGAACAGTTCACATTCTATTATCTGCATATTCATCACTCATAATGATCCACCACCACAAAATATATGTGAGTACCTGCAAGTGATTGTGTTGTTATATGTCAGGAAATTTAAAACGTCAAAACTCACTTCAGCTTTGAGTCTCTCCACGGCTGCTTCCTTGTCTTTTGCCTTGATCAACACAAAAAGCTTTCCGGTTTCTGGAACAATCCTCAAGATCTTCTCCACAATAACTGCACATTTTAAATGCTTCTCGGTGTTAATTAGTTTCTATCTAAACTAATAGAACGCAAGGAAAAGAAAGTGAAACAGTATTACCTTTGGCCACAAACCCTGTTGCACCAGTGATGAGGAAGTTCTTGCCTCTGAAAAAGTTGACGATGCCAATAGATCGTTCAAAAGTTTCTGCAGGCATGTTAATGAACGACGTCGCTGTGCTGCTAGTGTTGCCTTGAAGAAGACTCTCTCCTGGCTTCTCGCGAACACTAGCACTGAGGTTTCCACCATAGCTTTCGCTGCTATTCTGGCTGCAAATAACTCCAGGATTCTTCTTCTTGGATCTTCCATTCTGAATGTGCCTTTGAAATTGGAAGTTAAGAAGAGTCTTGCTAGAACAATATTCATGTCGGAACAACGATTTAAGAATCACTGGATGGCTATTATACGATGAAGAGTTTTGAGATGCAGAAGCTGAGAAGAGGGACCTCATGATCAAAACTCTGAATTCCCTGTGCTGGTTGAGTTCATGGCTTGTATGTGTATGAGCATGTGTATATATATACATACAAGTAGATAAATGATCGAAACTACCTGCTTAATCTCAGTAGGAGAAAATCCGTTCTTCTGTTATTAGTTAACACTTTTTTAGGAAAAAATAATTAATATTTGTGAGTACGACCTTGCAGGATATCCAATTTTCAATGTAATTAATATTTTATAGATGTAACATGTATACATTACATAAATTATTAATATGAAAAGGTATAATGATTACAATAGTAATTTAGTTATGTCACGTGTAAACAATTTCTTTCATATCTATCTTGAATATCTTCTGAACATCACGAAAGGCACCCATGTGTGTATATATATATATATATGATAAACTTGTGTGGTCCACCTTAATTATATATACTAGGCAAGTTTAGTCTAGCTAAGCCTAACATTAGATTTCTTTAATCATGTAATGCATATATATTTCTATCAAGATAAGATATAGATGAAATGTCTAGGCCAAAAACCAAAAAGACTAATAGCCTATAAAAATTAATTTAATTAATAAGAATTTGGCTCATGACCTATAAATTCATGAATTAAAATCTTACTATGAAGACCTTGTTGGTGGCATAGTTTAGCCAACTTTCTACTATACTTGAATCTAAGTCCCTTCTAATGGCAACATAGAAAAGCCCTCTACAAGTGACATAAACTAGCCTAGACTATAATCGTGCGGGTGATTTATATGTAACATGTTGGCTAGACTCAATTCATCCAAACATTTTTTTTAGAGAAAGAGTTGAGAGTCAATTTTGCCCTTAAACTTTTCCTTAAGGTCTGCGAGTACCCTAAACTTGACATTTGGTCATTTCTACCCTTGAACGTTTGAAATGTGTTGTCTCATCACTCCACCATTAATACACCATAACATCCATTTTTTGGTAGAAGATGTGTCCCACCATTTTTTTTATTTTTTGTAATAAAATATTGGGTTAAGAGTCACTTTTGCCCTTGAGTTCAAGGTACTTGCAGATGCAAAGGTAAGAATTCAAGGTACCTACAAACCCGAAGAGAAAAGTTTAAGGAAAAAAGTGACCCTTAACCTAATATTTTATTATAAATTTAAACTTATCATGAGCAATATTAAGTAGACCTGATTTCATTAAATTATATTTTATAAGTTTATCCTTTGTTGTCTTGTTGCAGATATTGAATAGAGGATTGAGGGAGAAGAGGGAGAGGGAGAGGAGAAATCACTTGAACTAACTCCAAATATGGATTCGTCTACTATTGAGAGTGAAAATGTTGTAGTTTTGGAGGGTAATGATGGTTAGGAAGAGCCACAAGACTTGGACTTGGGTCAACTTTCATTTTGTTGATTGTTCTTTTAACTTTTATTATATATGTTGAATGAGATGGTAGCTTGTTATTTTGTTGGATCGTTATTTTGGACTTTGAACTTGTGTGCGTTGGATGGTTATTTTGGACGTTGAACTTGTCTGTTGGATGGTTATTTTGGACTTGAACTTGGACTTGCTTGTTGATGTATTGAAAATCAGTATTTTGATGCATAATGTGAAAAATCAACATTGAAATCACAAAAAAAAAATGGTGGTTGTAATTTACTATTCAAGCTAGTCGAAATAGACTCGAAGCTTGAAGGGATTCAACTCGAGCTTGACCAGGCTTTCGAGAAATTAGGGCTTGTTTGGAGCTAGTCCAAATAAACCCAACCAAAGTAGAGCCTGGCCCTGTATTACTAGCTCTAGTCAAAGTCATGTGCCCTTTGAAAGCTTTTTTCCTTTTTTTTTTTTGGGAAACCTGCTGCCTATATGATACTCCCTTTGTTCAAAAATATAATATATTTTTTAAAGATAGATGTTAAACAATATAATGTATTTTTAGTTTCTCAGTATGTAATTAATGAGTTTTTTTTTAAAAAAATACCCATACAAAATAAACCACTCAGTAGTTTATCTTTAAGTGAGACATCCTATTAAATAAAGGTAAATATAAAAAGATGATATTAATTTAAAGAAAATTAACTAACTTATTGGGAGGTATAATTTGATTAAAAATACCTTATATTTTTAAATGAAAAAACATACGTTATACATTTTAAATTTAAATAAACAGACACATAAGTATAAAAGTGAAAATGAGAATAAAAGTAATCCCAAAAATTCTATTCAATAATAATTATATTTAAAAAATTAAAAATTATGTTCAAAATGTTAATTATTTAAATAATTGTAAATAAAAAAGTCACAATTACAAATGAGGAAGCAATGATAAATAAGTTATAAACTATTATAGAATCTAGACCACAATATAATGTATTAATAATTAATTGATGGCTTTAAAAAAGGTAAAGTGAAACATCAATCTCTTTTGTCCCGTTTGGTACAGGAAAGTGTTTTCGGTGGAAGCGAGAGTGAAAATAGAAGTGAAAGTATAAATGGAAATAAAAGTAGCTCATGGAAGTGAGATGAAAATTTTATTTATTATCGAATCCCATTCCCGCCATCGCGGCATTTGCAAAGAAGAGTAAATAACAAAACCAGGTACAGCAAGAAATACAACAGATCTGTTTAAGAAAACCATTTTTATTCCAACCATCTTTACAATTTTATGAAGATTAAACGGATCAGATCTAAAACGATGACCTTCAAAACAAACAAACAAACAAACAAAAAAAGAGGGCGAAGGAAACTGGAAGAAGTACAGTGATTAGAAAATAAACGTTTCTGCCAATGTTTTGTATACTTCAATATTTGTTATGGGAATGCTTCTGCCAATTTTAAAAAAACAAAAGAAAAGAAAAGAAAAGAAAAGCATGCATGATTCCTGATTGAGTTGTCTCTAACTGCAAATTAGGATGGTGTAGATTTTTCGTATAATTATTAAATTGAAATATTTTAGATAAAAAAATTCAATATTGCTAACTTAGATGGAATTCTTGATAATATTTTCATACTGACACATTGTTGATTTCAACCATGCATGTGTCTAGGTTAAGGAGAAATTCTTGTGTAGAATTGGTGCACCACTCGTCATGCATGCTCTTTTTAATAAAAACATGTTATGTCAAATGATTGTAAATATAAATTGATTATGTCATTGATGATAAAAAAGAGAGAGAAAAGATATTGGATAAAACATGTTATATTTCTCTTGGATAGAACATGAATGATGTGTTGCACCGAGTCCACACTAGAATTTTTTCTGGGGCAAAATCTAACTATTGGCCAGATGGGTCATAAAGTTTCATTGGCTCTACAAAGCAAAAGCGTTGTCTGCTTTGGTGTTGGGAAGGATTTAGATTCATTGGTTGATTTAAATCTAGTCATTCAATGAGTATATCACATGACATGGTAATAATTGTTCAATTCAATAAAACGATTGTCAAAGATTTTGTTATATAATATTCAAAAAGTATTGAATCTCAAATTTTTGGAGAAAACAACAGGACATAAAGAGTGTTCTAATCTTGATGATTCTTTTAAATTTGTTGAAAAAAATATATTTTGATCATTTTTAAGTATAGATGAAATCAACCATATATTTTGATAATATATTTTCAAGCCTTAAGTTCACTTGTGGATTGAAATTTTAATTGTGAACTTTGAAATTTTATTTAATACTGATGAGTGAGAGAAGAAAACAAAAGCCCATTTGCATTTACCCATGACAATCAATTCTCCATTTAATTCTCAATGACATTTGGATTTTAATGATACAAAGATGACTTGGTACATCTATCAATTCAATATCAATTTTCCTCCTTCTTTAATAAACAAAAATTTAGGTAAGTTAGGTTTCAAGATCTCCAAAACATACTTTTAGGCTCAAAAAATGTTTATAAAAATACTTACAGATTACCCACCAATAATATTCACACAACTGGCATTGAAATTTACACTCACGACAACTTTGTAAGTTATGAACCAAATCTTATTAATTGAATTAACCTTTATTAGTTGATATCAATTTTTCTACATCATGAATAATATATGTCCTATTCTTGATTGTTACCTACAACGCATGGAATGGGATGGAGTCACTAGAGTCTAGAGTTAGAAGATTGAAATGTATTCCAAAAACTTTTATATATATGCGAGCTTTGATTAGTCATTACTCTGATGAAGTTTCCGCGATATGCATATTGTAGAATAGGTTGCTTATGCTAT